GTTCGTTCAAACAAGATTAGTTAAGCCAAGTATACATTCAAAACACAAAATAAAAACATTGATTGCGAATTCGAAATCCGAATGTTATTCTAAAATCTAAAAAAATTGTGACTAGATTTTTAAATACAACACCTTTATAAAATATTTTATTTATAAATATATTTAGTTTGAATTAGAAAGTTAATTCTTAGACTTCGCAGGTAGATCCGTAGATCAATAAGATGTAAGTCTGTATGTACATAACAAGCTATAAATTGTTAAAAAGCGTACAGTGTATAATGCATTGCGAAGTTGATGATATATAGGACACGGATGCTTTTAGTACCGGCGTCAATTTTACGATGATGGTACACTCTCTGAAAATATAGACATTTTTATGATAGGTAATAGTCATGACGCAGACGGTCCAGGAGATATCTACTACACAGTACGTTACTCTTCTCAAGTGGCTAAATATAAATGAAATACAATCGTATTTTTGTATCAATTGAATTTCTATGCTGACCGAGGTGTATTTATATAATATATATAGAAGATCGTCCAACAGAATGCTGATCATAGATTTTCTTTTTTTTTATGTTATAGGTCGGCAAACGAGCAGACGGATCAGTCAGCGTCGCCCATGGACGCCCGCAACCACAAAGGAGTTACGTGTGCGTTGCCGACCCTTTAGGAACAAGGAATTTGGAGATTTAGGTATTAGAAAGAATTTCTTCTCTATAATTTAATTTTAAAAATATTTTCATATCAAAAGTGAAATCAATATTATTTACGTAATTCTTATAAATGTTCCGATGAAACATTTTATTTTTAATCTTAATGAACGAACGTAACTAAGTTTTTGAACAGGTTTGAGATATTATGAAAGCCTGCAGGTTTAATTTTTAATCATACAAGTTAATTATTTGCACGATGTCGACACGCCATTCGATTGTTTTATGATTGACAACGATGATTTGAATGAAATTTTGTCTTAAAGAAATAAGTATTATTTAATTCGTGGTATCTTTATACTAATTTCGCACAAGTAACGAGGTACTTGTACGAAATTCTACATATTTCTCCCATCTATCAACCTACATATTTTTTTTGGCTTGGAAAGATCATATTTTGTCTTGGACGGGGCGAGAGTGAGTGTCAGACTCTTACTGACTAAAAACCACCCGGTCCTTCCGCTTCTCCGTGTCCTGCAACCTCGGCTGAACATCGACCCTGTTGAGCCCTAGTAGTGGTGGTCTCAAGGCTCTGTGGCGCGCGTGGAGAGCGCTTCGCGCCGTACGCATAGGCCTGGTTCTGGTAAGGCGGCAAGCTACTCTTACTGGCCGCTAATCTACTTTGTATTGGCTACCAAATTATATGAAATCTCTATCTACCCACAATCGTTGAAAGCTAGATGTTGGGTCTGTCATTTAATAAGGTCAACGAGACCATTTTCTTTTATTTATGTTTTGATACAAACTCCTTTCTGTTTAAATATTATGGCTGACACCTAAGTAAACAGAACTTTTTAAATATCACATTCATTAATATGGTAATGAAAGCAGTTAAGACAAAATTATTGAAAATTAACTTTTGAGTAATGTTACGTCGAAACATTTGAAAGTTTGAATCGTCTATATAGTTCATTAGTTCCTTGTTACAATATTTTGAATCATAAGCTTCATATTATAAGAACTAACCGTTTAAATTGTTTTCTGAATAAAATCGTTATTAAGGAACCGATACCGATTTCTGTATATGTAGTACTTTTTATTTATTACTATTGTAATTATAATGGAAACACAACCGCATTTCTATTGATTACTGCAGTGTTATTATTCATTTTGCATTCTATTGACAAAGATTTCCATGAAAATGAAATAATTATATGAGTGTCATATAATTTTATATTCTAAAAGTGATATAATGTGGTAACTTTTTGTTGGTCCCATGTCTTAGGTGCAAATGGAGTGTGGTATACGAAAGTATTGCAAGTTTAGGTGTTTTATTAGATTCTAATGTTACAGTTTTTGGTCTTATGTTTTGTCCGGCAACTGCTACGACGGAAATTTGATGAGGGTGCTATTTCTTCATACATGTTTCCTTTTCTCTCTACTTTTCTAAACTTTTATTTTATAAAAATCTTCTCAAAACATTTAACAAAGACTGCAGAGGAAAATGGCAAAATTGTTCCAGGCGTTGTTGAGCCCCATTGCGAATTTTGCGAATTGTTTTCATACACATATGTTCTTATGTAAATTTAGGGTTCTGTCCCAAATGAGGAAAAAAACAATAAGTTCTGAATTGACGCTCATGTCTTAATTCTTTAGATTTACCCAGTACTTTTCCTGTCTCGTGGAAAATGGAGAAAAATGAGCGCGATGGCGGTGAACACTGAAACCTAATTCAGAGAGACGCATTCGACCGACTTCAAATAAAAGAAGTATAATGAGTCATTTGACAAATAAGTGTACCTAATAAACGTACCGTTGTAAAATGCAAATTTTAAGTATTTATTGTTTGCAACAAATACATTTGTTACAAAGTAACTAAGTACAAGTTTTCTTTTTGTAACTACCACCAGTACCAATCGCTCAAAATAAAACAGACAGTTTGCTTTCTTCGATTAACAATTGTATATGTAATATATTTTATACAGTATTTATACCTATACTATATACATATATACATGTCATATATATATATGACATGAAATTGAACAATATAATTTAGTTGTCCTTTTAAAATAAAGTTAGTAATGTATTTTGTTAATTTACCTTTATTCGTTTTTTTAAAGTATTGTATTATTTTTTTTAATTCATAAGCTCGCCATTTTTATTCCTCGCAAGATAGAAAAGATTCAACATATTATTTATTTGCTTTGTGACTTTGTTCGCGTTGAATAGTGAATTCCTGCAGGTTTTTTATTTAAAAGCTATCCTATGTGCTTTCTCGTGTTCGAAACTAAGCCTGTACCAAATTTCACACCAATAGGTTCAGTAGTTTAGGCGTGACAGAGTTTCATTCGCATTTATATTTTTTTTTATTTTTATTATAATTATAAGCGCCCGTCCCCGATTTGCACTGGTCCAACTATCTCGCTATCAAAGGGTTAATTTTCCTAATCATCCCCTCTACCTTTCTAATATTTTCTTTGATAAGAACCTTCTCCTGACAATAACCAACAAAACAAAAAATAATTAGCAAAATTGGTTCAGGCGTTGTTGAGTTGTGCGCTTACCAACACATTTTGCGATTCATTTTTATAGTATAGATTAATATTATATACATAATAGTTTGTATGAATATTATGGAAATGTCAACTACGGCCACGTTTGTATTGTCCCGAAAAGGTAAGCAAAAGTAAAGTTGTGTGTGTGTGTGTGTTGTGTCCTAACAATACATCCCACAGAACTGCTAAACAATTATTTGTATTATTGGTGTCATAAATCCCTAACAATCTGTTTCAAATGATGTACTATAAAACAGTTAGTGTTATTCTCATGTTTAATAAGATTTTATCAAAATGGGTCACGTTTGTGCGTTTGTCAACATATCGATAATATTGTAATTCGAATTAATTCAATTCAAATTCTCGAATTGTAAATCCTACAATTATGTGATAGTGCCTAATTGTAATTTTCTTACATATAGGTGTAAATATATATAAGAATAAATTTGTATGTAGCATTTTCACCTGGGTGTACTTTTCTGATAATTTTACCTGAAACTATGGTATGTGTAACGAACTCCAAAAAAACAAAAGACTAACGGCCTGACCTCAAAGAGTTTTACAAAAGAATAGAAACTTTTTGGTAATTTATGTGTTATTATTTACACAAGGCATATTTGTAATTTGGACTAAGTTTAATTACACATAAATACATCTACAGCTACAAAATAGAGGGCAAAGCTGCGATCACATGTTAGTGGATAAATTTAATAAATCCATTAATATACCAATTATTAATTTTATGATTAGTCAATAAGTTGTGTAGAAGAGTGCAATGTTTTAATCAATTGTTAATATAAAATATATGATACTATAATAATTATATTTAAAGTAGTTAAGTTTTACTAGCTAAGTGCTACTATAGTAAAGCAAAGAAATATTGAGTTATTGCGCCAAAGAAAATATGTTCCTATCGTCAGCTTGGATTGTACATGAGAGATTGTTTGACCGACAGATATAACAACACGCACTTTGTGCGGATATCGAAAGAAAACATTAAGTGCATTCCTTAAAAACTAGTGAATTTAACAGTCTACAATACATTATTAAGGTGAAAATAAAAATATTCTGATTATAACTATTAGACCTATAACTATACTTTCTCGTTACTTTTATCTAATCCACAAAGCACCATAATAATAAAATAATCAATTTAATCAAAGTCTATATTTTGTTATTTATAAAGGGTACTGGCATAAATAAATATCTACTAAATTTTGAATATCGATAAATAAATCGTAAGCTACATAAATAATAAAACAAAACTTTGTAAACCTTAATTCTATTTTTAATAAAAAAAATCTAGTTTGCGGTTTATAACATAAAATACAATAAACTATTAACAAATCCTCTATCGCTTATACCTTCATTTTATTTAATAAACGTGCCAAGATTAGTCTTAATGCACCTCTGAACCTCTTATTGTTGAAAAGTTCAACACTTAATGCAACACAAAACCATAAAACTTGATTAAGTACCTACTTATTAATCATTACACTTAGTAATCGGCGTTTATCTTTTAAGTTAATTTATTTTTCTTTGACGTAATAGAACAAGCTGAGAACAATGACTTATTAGTAGGCTGGATCTCGTTAACTTTAAATGCATGTTGATAACTCAGCATTAAAAAATAATGGAAAATTAGCGGCCGACTTTTAAAGAGAAATAAAAACCACATCGCATATCGCAAAGCATTGAAACGACAGGAAGGGAAATAATATTAAATGTTAGTAAGGAACTCACCTCATTGAACCCGTGTAGCGTAGTTTTATGTTATCGAAAAACTTACGCGGGCTGCATGCGGCGGCACTACGAGTGTCGGCAGGAGCGTGTCGCGAGCGCGGGCGTCGCGGGCAACAGGCGAGCGAGGAGTCGCGGCGGCGGCGGTACCCTCCGTGTTGTGACTACGCGCCCCCACAGGAACACTACCGCTAATTACGAAGGCGCGAAACGGCTTCTACTCGCAGGACTCGAGTGTTCGGCTTAACAAGTCGTGTGCGGCGGCGGCTCACCTGAGTTGTCGACGGCGGTGTCCGGTCGGCCACTGCTTCGTTGTCGACCGCGGTGCGACTGAGTCGCGCGCCCACCCGCCATTCTCTTTTATACTTTTCCCCTTCTCGGAGGACCCCGCAACATTTTTCTTTTCTGTGAAAGACCTACAAGTCCTGGGTACCGTTGACCCGTGACGACAACGGCATTTGTCGAGCCTATCCTTGTAAAAGCATTATTGTCTAAAAATTCATAGGTCAAGTGCGCTCGACGTGCTACATAAATTCGGTAGATAGACTTGGCATAAACACAATCGTACTAAATATTAGTGTGGTAAGGCTTAGCGTAACTGTTATGGAAACGTTAAGAACAGACACATAGAAAAAATATTTCATATTTAGAGTAACTTAGTTGGAATAAAGACATTCAATGAGAGTAGGTACCTACTAGTCCTTTGTGCATTTATGTTATGTTTGTTGTACATACATTCAAATTTAAAACACTCACATAACTGCACGTTTCTTTCAAACATATCCAAATATTATAAGAATGTGGCTACCGCTTGTCGCTTAGGATACTTATTTATGGCGGCTGTCGTCCGTCACTTAGATTTCTTTGTGATAACAATGCTGCAATTTTTATCGATTTTAAATACTTGCAATTCCTTGTATAAAAATACGTGATTCACTGAGATATTAGGCATATGTTTAGTATGAGGTCAATCGTGTCCTAATTATGTTTATAACTTCATGTAAACCTTGCACGGCGTCTCATTTTCTCAGCATCGACTACTACTTGCACGTTCCGGAAAATCAGCATTAAATTAAGCGTTATTAATGTCTTCATTTCCATAGACAATTTTGCGAAACAAGGTCACTTTAGGGACCTTTACCGTTACTGCCTTCGTTTCTTCTTTCTAAGCAATTTGAACACGACACAATTTTGTTTCGTATTAATTTGATAGGACATTTAAATAATGCTTTCTTTTTTATACCTGTGTCTGTTAAAGCGTATGTTTTAAGGTGGCTATAGGTTTTATTAAACATCTTTTAGAAAAAAATTTCTTCTTCGAAACATTTTTATGGGAAGTGTCAAGTTTTAGCTACACAACTAATAATTTAATATGTTGTCCCCCTTGATTTATTGGCTATGTGTAGTATTCATGTTGATAAAGTTTCTAATAGGTATATTAAATATGAATGCGTCTTGAGAGAGTATGATATGCATATTAAAATATTTCTTGTGATTAAAAATTCTACGGTTATGCATACACTTGAACTGTGGCCTTGAATTTAACCCTTAAAGCTTCAAGTACATAATTAAATAAAACTTCAAAAATTTTGGGTCAAACTATAATAAAATTTCACAGATAAAAGGGTTAAACTCAAGTGTAATCCTGTTGTTTTAGGGTTTCAATTGTGGGATTAAAATATCAAAACGTATCACGACAATGTAACGGGTCGAGGGTTTGACAATCACGAATGTACCTTATGTGGTTTAGAATAAAGTAGTTTTGGGTATGGCGTTTGATATGCTGTCAAAAAGCGACTGTTTTCGAACAATTGAATGAAGCAATCACTAACCTACTAATAGTGGTATCGAGGTAAAGTATCCTATAACTACATAGCGTACTTCCTTGCCAATTTTAAATTGTACTAAGTGCACACGCCATAGACGAATAGTGACGAATGTTACCGGAACTTCGGTACAAGTGTTTTTTTTTTTAATAAGAAATAAAATAAGTATTATTTTGTTTGTATAAATGTGGCCTATTGAAAAATCGTCCAATGACTTCTTTTACCCAGGGTAAGGCGAGGGGGAGTGTCAGACTCTTACTAAAACCCCCAGGTTCCTTCTCCTGGTCCAGGCCGGAGCTGGGTAAGTCATTTGATGATTTTCCCCTCACATAAAATACAATGGTACATTTCCAATAAACCGTGTCGTTTAATGAAATATTTTAAATATTTTGTGACAGAACAAAGTTTAATTACATGTACTTACAGCGAAATTGGAACCTTTCTCTTACGTTACATATTTTTTAAACTTCTGCCATGTGTCTTTCATCCACAAGTTAGAATCAAACGTTAAACAATAAGGTCGCAAACGAGGCTACATAGAAAAGGGATTCTAATTCGATGCCTGAATCGAACAAAGTACTTATGTATATATATTATTAAATATTATCGTTTAAAGACATCGAGTACATTATGGTAAAAAAATGAATACAAGCATGGACAGATTATATTCTTATATTCACATCAAATTTGTTTGTTTGGTTTTTAGTAGAAATTGGTATGGTTTAGATCCACGGGAATAACTATGTGAGACTTATAAAACTCAAGAATATTACTCATACCTGTTATTTTAGTACACTTCTGCCAACCCCTTTAAGAGATTGTAGTGGCGTGTCAAAGCCCGACTATATTCAATAAATCTTATCCAAGCTCTTGAGTGCATAACACTTACATCGCTCAAGCGAGAAATTTTGAAAATTTATGTAGCAGTGTGCCTTCACATTTTATTATGGGAACCGAACTCGTGACACACTGCAAGCGACAGTAATTGGGTTGCAAAGCACTCAAGATATTTTAACACGAACTCTTTTTTTACTCTTTCCATTTTACAAAAGCCATGTAAAATCTATCTTTTATAATAAATGAATAGCAAAGTGTGTTGATAAGCGCATAAATCAAGAAAGCCTGTTCTTTTTTTGATGAGTTCGTTATTGTCAGGAGAAGATTCGTATGAATGAAAATTTTAAAATAATACAAGGGACAACTGGCTATTTAGGACCCTTTGACCCTAATAAGTCGGAGACTCGTGCGAAGCAGGGGCGGGCTGCTAGAATAATATAAAAATACAAATGGTAAGCACTTCACTCAAAAACGGCTGGACCAATTTTGCCAGTTCTTAATTGCATGTAGGTCATTTTAGAAAAACAGAGAGGGTTATCGTGAAGTTGGAACCCATTATTTAGTGTGTAGTTTGACTATAAATTTGTAACGTTTTCACTGCAGTTTATTTTAAAATGGGAAATAAATTTTCAAAAAATTTTGCTTCTAAGTTTGTCACTTTATCGGTCGCAATATGCTTCTCTTAGAAGGATAAGATCCTTCCGTAGTCAACTGAAGGAATATTTTATCGTGACTTTTCAATAGTCAATTTTTCAAAAGTGGATATACTTATTTGAACTATCGATCACTAATAAAGAACTGAACTGGCTTTTATTTTAGCTCTATCAATGAACATCATTATCATTACTACAAAAAAGAAAGAATTATCTGTAAGAAACACTTTTCTAATATTTATATGTCGAAACTTTAGGATGGTTTAGGCCCTAGTGCAGATTGTTTTGTAGTGACCTACCCTAATCTATCTACTTAATTCTTCATCTTTCTACCTATATTAAATTCTTACATTCTAAACTATTTCCATTGTTATTATATCCATATTATTTACACTTAAAAATACTCCAAAAGTAAACACTTATTCTTATATAAAAACATCAAATTAATTGTAAATATAAATTTCTATTACATAATTTAAATATTATTTCTGTAAAAATTTAAGGGAATCTCGAAACGACGTATCTCGTGACCATAGGCCTAGTTTTTTCTTCATACAGGACAGGATGACCATTGCCATACAACGTGGCAATGCTGCCAGCCCATGATGGGCACTTTCTTCCTTAAAACTGATGAGGATGAATTTAATTATAAAATATTTTTTTTAAGTTTTATATAAGCAGTCTGCTACTTATTACTTTAGGATTTTATGCCCAAATTCGTATAGCGTCGGATCCCACTGGGCAAGAATCTAAATTCTAAGCGAACAAAGCCACAGACGGAAACCTAGTTACACATAAAACCATTTCTATCCTCTGACGGTGGATTTCAAATAGCACTAATGTCAAAGCTGTCCTCGGGCAAGATGGACCCCTTACTAGATTACCAGGCCCTTCAAAGTATAACCTTGTTGTGTTTGTATGTTCTCTTTGATGGACCTCCATGGAGATCAATCACTTTGTTTATGGAACCACTTCCCTCCACAATTCACGGCTGACGTTTATTACTCTTGAGACGCAAACAGTTGTTACTTGTTATGTGACACGTGTGTACAGTTGCTAATAGGATTATACTGTTTTTAGTATTTTAATGAATGGTGTAGATCTCAATGGACTTGAGCAAATAGTATATTTAAATAACAAAGTTTTGCAAAATTTGATTATTTTTGCATTTTTTTTTTCTGATTGTATCCACTTTGACTGGCAGCTTTACTGGTGTTATCGAAAAAATAGCCAACCTTAATTTTAGACCATAATATCCCTTTGCAGATTTACTTAATTTAATTTTGGTCACTAATGTACATAGCGCATACATTTTTAAAATTATACGTGCCAAGGTATTTGTAGGTATACTTTTTGCATTATCAAAAGAAATAAGTGACATTGACTTTGCAAAGTCGACTGAGCACCGAGTTATAATTATCATACCTTAATGTATGTATGCTACACATTGTGCAATATGGTAATTTTATAGCTATTTTTAACCGACTGCACATGTCAGACTTCGATCCTTAGATCGGGGTAAACTTACTGGAAAAACGTTCTATGATGTTTACTTTACAATACCTATGAATAGCACGGGGAGTGCTCCAAGGAATGGTTCGGTTTGATCCCCGACGCATCTTTTCACCGACCCACGCGAAAACACTTTCTCCCCAATGTATATGGTTGGCAGTTAAAAACTATGCGATTTTCACGTATCTTTTTTCTTCGCACCACAAAACTAAGGAATGAGTGCTTCAGCGGTTCAGCGGCGATACGAAACGATACGACCTTCAAACATTCAGGTAACGTGAATACTCCTTCTTAAAAGGCCGGCAACGCGCCTGTGTCTCCCCTTGTGTTGCAGGTGTCCATGGGCAATGCTGATCACTTACCACTATTCCATAAAAAAACAAATCAGTTGAACAGTTGGAGATAGAAACAAAAAATTGAATAAAGCATTTCTACAGCGGGAAGAAGGGAATCGATAGTTCTTAAAAATTGTTAAAAATAACTTTATTTAGTGCTCTAGCGTGACAG